ACACACACACACACACACACACACACACACACACACACACACTCACACACCTCCCCCTCCACAAACTGGATGTATGACAGTGTAATTCTGGCTTTTCTCCCCCTCTCATCTTCTAATCGATAGGAAATCCGAGGTGGGGAAGAGTGTGTCCCTGTGTGTGCGTGTGTGTGTGTGTGTGTGCATGTGTATGAGGGCCGGGCAGGCACCCAATCACAGCAGCAGCAGAACAAGACTACGTCCCTCCAGAGATGAAAGGATGCAATATCTGGTGGCAGGAAATGCTACACTTAACGAGGGTCCACACAAATTTTCTCTCCCCTTTCTTTCCCCAAATCGACAAACTGGCTTCAGTTGTCCAAATGACCACATTACAGAAGGAGACGTGCCCCTTTTTTTTCCACAAGTCACAATTTTTCTGTGGTCTCATTTAATCACACAGCATCACATCCTTCTTGTAGCTGTTGTTGTCCTGAACAAAGGCTTCCATGTCTGCCGTGTTCTCAGCAGGGTGGGGCTCCTTTTAGCCTGTGGATCAGCGGGCCAGCGTCCAATTTGGACTTTAATTGAAACATATTAGAGCTCAGTCCATAACCCCAAGGGTGCACGCTGCCTCACGCATCAAACGGAGCTCGGACTGCCACTACCCAGAAGGATAAACGCGCTGTATAATTCACTTCCTGATACACTCGGGACTTCAAATTGGGTCCATTGATCAGAATTTTACATTCTCTGTAGCTAGATTAACTGTTGTGTGTATGCACAATGTTGAATGATATTTAAAAGCTTATGCAAACAGTTGGACTGGTTAAATTGCCAAGTTTTTTGTGAGTGAGCTCAATCAAAAGTTTTTAAACCCCAACTTTGGAATTTTATATTCAATTATCTAAAATGAAATGTAGTTAAACATTAATATACATGAGTAATACACAGTAGTTAAACATTAATATACATACACACATGTACACATATTTATATATATATATATATATACACACATATATATACACATGTAAAACATGCACATATATATATGAATACATGTTGCTTTTTTCCCCCATTCTTTCATCTCCAGCCAGCTCCCTGTTATTCTGGCTGCATGGCTCCCTCGGGACCCCCGTCTTGTCCTGCCTCAGTGCTCCGTCCATCCGCAGCTCCCCACCCCTTCCATTTGTTACCATGGCGACTAATGCTGGCGACAGCCCGGCCCGCAGGCCGAGGCGCTTTGGCAGACTCCTCTGCCTGTTGGACGGAGGATGCCAGTGCACAGATTAACGAGGCCGACCCACAGACGCTGGCATCCCTTCACTGCTTTTTGGCCTCGGCTCTTTGGGCTAAATGGGTATTGATCTGGATAATGTATTCGGATAATCTTTGCGGGTTCCTGTTCAGTCACAGGAGTAGCTGTTTAAAGTATCGAAGCGGGTTAAGAGGTGAGTAATAGAAAGGGCGGAAAGACCCAAAAATAACACCGTAATTCAACAGAGAAGTCGTCTATTCCGTTTATATGAGCCGTGGAAGTGGAGTGGGAAGAACGGAGGAAAGTAAAGTGAGGATGTCCTTATATCAGAGCTCAGCTGCTTGTTCCTGTGTGTTTTCAGGGTTGTGTTCCGCTGCAGGGATGCCAGGTGAACGAGCTCACAGCCAACCCAGACGAACCAGGAAGACACCTGTTTGAGATCATACCAGGTGGGATCCGCTGGCCTCCTTTCTTTTTTCACAGTCTTCACTGAAAAGAAAATAAACCTCCTGTTTCACTCGGAAGATATGAACCCAAAACACATTCGTTTATATGTTTTACGTAAAGATTTCCGTAAAGATTAATAAGAAATGCGACTAAAAAGACGCTCTTTGTTCATTTTGGAAGAAACGTTGGAAAAATCTTGACTCTCCTGCACTCAAATGGGCAAAACACATTCGTTTCTATGTTTTACTTAAAGATTTCCTTAAAGATTAATGAGAAATGCGACTAAAAAGACGCAAAAGGCTTTGAAAGAAAGTAACAAAAGAATACTCACTTGAGTCAACAAAAATGACAAGGAGGATCAAAATGAAAATCACTCTTAAGAGGTTAAACAATGGGGAAACGAGGACTATTTAAACACATGAGGGAAGGGAACCCCAGGTGTACACAATAGGTGTTAAAGGAAGACAAGCAGACATGTGACACACAGGGGAGTGCAAGCGGCCTGAAACAAGGGCATGTACTTTTCAAAATAAGACAGAAAAACCATGGAAACAGGACAAAAAGACCAAAAGTTCCCCCAGATGTGACAGGTTTTTGATCAGTGGTAGAACATTTCAGACTCCACACAGAAAGGTCCCGGTCCCCAGGGACCCCAGGCAGGAGCCCTCTTGTTTTGTGTTGCTTACCATAACACACACGTTATCATTCTGGGGGGGTAAGATGATCTCAGCACCAGCAAAGGTGCTTTTGAGTAGTGAAATTAGAACATTTCCCATAATGTCTGAATACAGCCACAGGTCTGCAAGCTGCCGTTTTTAAATAATGCTGAAGAAAATAAGCAGATTTTTCTAGTCTTTTGTTTAGTGTTTGTGTCACAGAAAGAGGGAAACCGGTTTTGAGTGTTTTCAGACAGCAGGGGGTGCTGTGATTCAAGCTCACGGAACGATGAGCTGTCTCATAGCTTGTGACTCCAGATCTTATGAAATAACTGGCTCTCATTTAGCTTTTGGGTAAACGGTGTGAGAGTCGATTTCTGTGTTCTTTAAGCAACAACGAAAAAAAGGCTCTCCATCCATCATCTCAAGTCGCTCTGAGACTGTAGATTTCAGGACACACAGCTTTACCTGGAGCCAATGGCCTTTTTTTCTCTTTATTTTGAACTAAAAACCAATATTCCTCAAGTTTATACTGAAGGTTTTGCCTGTCAGTCAATATTTAGTAAGGACACGGAGACTGATATCCATTTAAAAAACACATTCTGTGCTCAGAGTAGCACGCTGTGATTCAAAAGTACACATGGAGCGGCCTCACGTGCGAGGCTTCAGGCCTAATGAAAATGATGGTCGACCAACGAGTTCTTAAAAGGGACTCTCACCGCGTGGCCCCCGCCGATGTTTGCTCAGTGGTCCCTTCTTTTTTGTTTAAAATGGCCGACGGGCTTGTTGAGCGTTTGTGTGTTTTGTTTATGGCCGTCAACATCGCAGCGGGGTGCAAAGCTTCCATCATGCTGACAGACCTACAGCCAGACGGGCAGTCGTTTGTGGAAAAGAGACGAGAAGGACGGAAAAAATAGGCAAGCCAGAGGAAGGGACCATTACAGAGATACAGAAGAGGCGATCACCAGTGTATCCCGTTCTGTTCAGGGTTAAAATCACAACTCGTGCTCAAATGGAAATGCTCGCTTTTCAGGGCAAAAAACACGAGTGGGTCTGCTCTTTCTTTCTCCGGTCTAATCCGCTTTGGCAGATGAGGGCTTAACTCGCCGCTCTTGTATGAAACGGATAGACTGGCTTATTTTACACCGTGCGTTGTGTTGAAGAGATATTCTTCCCTTCCTCTTTCGAACTAAGGATTTCTGCTCATGTCTCTGTTCGCCAAATAAGGACCACAGTGAGCACTGAAAATCCCTTGACAAAAAAATAAATGTAGCTTTCATTCTACAGCTGAGTAGCAGTGGAAGCCAGGTAGCATTGTAGCAATTAGTAATTAGTCACCTTTCAAAAAGGAGCATTTGCTAATTTAGTTTTTACAAAAATCTAGTTCCTTCTGACTTGCATAAGTAATAGAATGCAGGTTTTCCTTGTCGTTTTGTATATGTGTTAATAAGATAAAGATATGACCAACTGATTGAAAAGGTGAGAATGAATCAAAAGTTGTTGTTTGTTTTTTAAAACTCTTTTGGGGCACTTTTGGGACAGATAGAAAGAACATCGGAGGATAAAACAACCCCTCACGAGCAGACATATCCCCAAATTTAATAGCCCAGATTTTTTTATGCGTTGGAAGTTAGGCTGGATCAGCCCAGAGATGAAGATAGATGAAGATAGCAGCTCACCTGGACCTTTTTTTGTAATGGGAAAAACATAGAAAGAAAATGTTCCTAACACAAATCGGACCCTCACAGTGGGTTTTTTTTGTACTTCCAGAAGTACAGCCAAAACAAAGCCGTTCGACCCCGGCTGAACTCCCCTCAAACATGCAGGCATGAGGGGAAAAGGCACATACTTGGCATCGTGGATCATTTTCTGTATTATTCAACAGCTGACTCTAAGCTGTAACCCCTCCGTCTGAGCCACTGGAGAAAAATCTGCGCACAGACAGAAATCGGAAGAGTGGCAGGTCTGCAAAAAGGCAGCTCAGGCCGCACTTTTGTCCAGAAAAACACATCACAAGCCACCTCACAGAGGAGAGTCCCGTTATTTGAGCTGCTTATGCCTTTGATCTGAAGCATTAACACCCCGTCTGTTAATCCCCGCTATGACTTTCGGTGCATTAACACCGTCAGTTATAACAATACGGAGGCTTAAAAGGAGAACGTCCCTGAAACATTCCTGCCCTGAGTTATATGTCTGAGATTCGGGCTTTTGTTTGATTTGGGATTGCAACCTCTCTGCAGGTGTAACACCTCCGGTGGAGTTTTTCAACCAGACGTGTGTTAAAAACGGTGTTTAGTTTAGTTTAGTTTAGTTTTATTAGGATCCCCATTAGCTGCAAAAATAAATGGCCACTCGTATCCCTGGGGTCCTCACACGAAGAAATTACATTACATTATGAACAAACCATTAAAAAAATTACATTAGGAAATAATAGGAACATGAAAAAGAGTAGAAATATACAACATATATACATTAGTTGTGAAGAATAAGTATCTTTTTTAAAGCTTGTTCTGTTCTGAACTCTTCGTGTGGTTATTGGCAGTTGGTTCCAGTGACATATGGATCAGAATCAGAATCAGAATCAGAATAAGGTTTATTGCCAAGTAGGTTTTTAGACTTACAAGGAATTTGCCTTGGTGTTTGGCTCTATAATGCAATGTGGATTTTAGATAGTTAGTTAGTTGTGTGTGTGATATTAGGCTGTGTTGATGTGTCATTATTTAAAACAGCCCGTGTGGTACCAAAAGCATCCATTATACGTTCGTTTTCGCTTTCAGAAATGTACTTTGAGATGCTTTGGAGTGGCTCGTATCCTCATTTTTAAATAATAATGACCAAAAATAATAATTTCTCATAGTTCCGACCAGCCACATAGCATTTAGTAAAAAAAACTATCAAATGTTTTTTTATCTTCGTGCTTTATCTGAAACATACGTTTAGCCTTGAGTTTTTTTTTTGTTTTTTTTTTACCTTGTCCCATCTATATTTAAACTTTAAATGCTTTATCTGTCATTTTGGCTCTTATCTGTTCTATGTGAGTTCAGGGAGAATCGTTTGCAGCTTGTGCTCACGGAGCCTTTTTTTCCCCAGTGCATGTGTGTATGCGCGTGTGTGTGTGTGTGTATGAGTTTGTTTGACAAAGACTGGAGGACAGCCCATCTCCCAGTTACTGCTTTCACACACACACAGAGGTACAGAGAGAGAAAGAGAGAGAGAGAGGTACAGAGAGAGAAAGAGAGAGAGAGAGGTACAGAGAGAGAGAGAGAGAGAGCCTTGTTCCACTCCTCCTCGGGGATTTGAGTCTCTCCAGGGGGGCTGAGGGACGGACCTGCTGCCTGGGCTGCTGAATGGAAGAGACAGGAAGAAAAGAGTGAATGAAAACGCAGAGTAAACCAGAGAGGAGTACCAAAAAAAAAACTGGAAAAAAATAGATTTGACAGGTTTAGGTTTTTTTTTCTTCCCGTTGGCATTGAGCATGCCTCTCAGGCAGGTGGTGGCTGCCGGTGCTACCTGCGTCCCGACCCGAGACCCCCTCTCGTCAGCGGAGCTTCTCGCTCGGACATGGGGCCGGTCTGCTGCAAGCCGGACAGGCTGAGGAAAGCCCATCTCCAAGGTAACGGGAAACAGATGCTGGAGAGTTTTTACAAGAGGGCAGAGACTGAGGTGGAGTGGCTGCGGGACCGCTGGAAGCTCTGATTTACGGTTGGCTTTGGGCTCAGACTCCCCCCTTTTTGCTCGTCCCGCTCGTGCCCCTCACTCTTCTGACAAAGAAAAAGGTTTTCAGGCAGAATTTTCTTTCGGTTGAGCTGCACTTTGAGTTTGACTCTTAGTACAAAGTGAGTAAAGGATTGAAAAACCGCCACCCTCTTCATATTTCGGCATGTTTTTGTGTAGTATCCTGCTACATGCGGACAAAAGCAAGCCTCTATCGCCTGTCATTCTTTTGAGATTAAGATCCTTATAACTAAAACGAATATGGCTGGGCATTTCCCCAACAGTTAACACTTTTGTGTAGAGTCAGGGCTGCAAACAGACAGCAGGGGCTTGTTGTGTACACAGCAGTGTGTGCCGGATGCCCCAACAGTTCATTTACCAGTTCCTTTTTAAAAAAATGTTACTTTCTTAAAGGTTTAGATATATTCCTAAAAGTTCTAACTTGCACCTTTCGGTATATATTGCCATGCACTAATCCCACCAACGAGTAACAAGGCTTGTTCTGTAATATTTAAGGCTATAAGTTGCTTTCTGATCACTCCATTGCTCATACAGCCAACAAGAAGGAGCACAGAGGTCTGTAAAGCTAATCGCCAACCACTAGAGAGCCCAATTATCAGACATATTTTCCTCTTAAAAAGCTCACCAAAGTACAGTTTAGCACATGTAGGATTTAAGTCACTGACTGGGTTTCTTCTAAATGCAATATTTTCGTTGTCCTCCAATTCAACTTGCTCAAATTCGC